AATAAAAAGAATCAATCAAACTTTCTCAACATGAAATGAATTAATAGAATTAATCCATTTCTTCTATAGTCTGTCAAAACCACAAAATTGTTTGATTTCCTTCATCATCTCCTATCAGTCCGATTCCACCATCATATTTCTCTAATTCCTTATTGCATGCAATTTTCGACCAAGAAAGAAAAAACCCCTAAGTCATTGTTTAACAAAAAAAAAAAGGATGAATTCCCAATTTGGTCCCTAAACTATTGTATAGACACTCAATTTGGTCCCTGAACTAAAAAATCCCTGATTTGATCCTTAAACTAAAAAAAATCCCTGATTTAGTTCATACTGTTTACCAATTTACCTCAAATTGGTCTTTTTATATAAAAACCAACTGATATATCTTGTTATTAACATGATATGTAGTTGTTAAATTACTGTTTTTTGTTATTAAGTAATAGACACGTTAGCTTTTTTTTTTGGTACAAAAAGACCAACTTGAGGCAAATTGGTAAATAGTAGAGACCAAATTGGGGTTTGTATAATAGTTCAGGGACTAAATCAGGGATTTTTTAGGTTTAAGGACCAAATCAGAGGTCCATACAATAGTTCAGGAACCAAATTGGGGGTTTAACAAAAAATAAACTTAATTTTCAGAAAAATTCTAGATCTAAAATAAAATAAATCACTTCATTCTATTTAAAAAAAAAAAAAAAAACTCAATAAAAAGAATTAATCAAACTTTCTCAACATGAAATGGATTAATGAAATTAATCCATTTCTTCTATAATCCATCAAAACCACAGAATTGTTTGATTTCCTCCATCATCTCCTATCAGTCTGATTCCACCAACATATTTCTCTAATTCCTTATTGCATGCAATTTTCGACTGAGAAAAAAAAAACCCTAAATCATTGTTAAAAAAAAAAAATTAATTTAATCTTCAAAAAAATTCTAAACCCAAAATAGAATAAATCAATTCCTTCGATAAAAAAAAAAAACTCAATAAAAGAATCAATCAAACTTTCTCAACATGAAATGAATAAATGAAATTAATCAATTTCTTCTATAGTCTGTTAAAACTATAGAATTGTTTGATTTCCTCCATCATCTCCTATCAGTCCAATTCCACCAACATATTTCTCTAATTCCTTATTGCATGCAATTTGTGACCGAGAAAAAAAAAAAACCCCTAAGTCATTGTTAAAAAAAAAAAAAATCAACTTAATCTTCAAAAAAATTATAGATCCAAAATGGAATAAATCATTTCATTTGATAAAAAAAAAACTCAATAAAAAAAATAAATCAAACTTTCTCAACATGAAATGAATTAATGAAATTAATCAATTTCTTCTATAATCGGTCAAAACCATAAAATTGTTTGATTTCCTTCATCATCTTCTATTTGTCCGATTTCACCAACATATTCCTATAATTCCTATCGCATGCAATTTTCGACTAAGAAAAAAAAACCCTTTAGTCATTGTTAAAAAAAAAAAAAATCAACTTAATACCTTTTGCTTGTTCCGTAGTCTCAAGATTACCTTCGTGGACACCAAATCAACACCATAGTGACGACGATTCAATCAAACTAAAGTC